AACGCTATGCCAACTAAACCACGGGACGAACTAGCGGACCTTACGAGTCTTTCTACGTGCTTGTTGCAGATCTTTGGTTTTTAGGTACCGTCTTTTTGTCGTAGCTCCAGGCACCTTTTCAGCTACAAGCAGCTTTGTACAGATGAAAAACACCAGGACCCCACGGACCCAGGGTTTCGACCCCAAAGGATGCAAACTGGTAGTCGGAACGAAAGTTCCTGAAAAGTTTTTTTTTTTTTTATAGCCCCGCATTAGGGAAACCCTGTGTCGCGGGTGCCATGGACACACACATAGACAACCACAAATGACACCCAAACTCACGAGAGAAACAATTGTAGGCCATACAACTATTTCTCCCGGCCCGGGAATCGAACCTGGGACCTCTGCGTGGCAGTCCGGCATGGTAACCGTTCGGCCACAGAGGCAGTTAAAGTACTGTAAACCGCTAATGTGCCGCGACCAGGATCACTGAATTGTATTTACAAAATCGCATTTGCACTTTTTTTAAATCATACGATTGTAGCGTGCCACATATTATTTATTATGTACGTTTTTATTCCACATTCGGCCCGCGTGGGAACTATAGTACACGCCCTGCAGGCTCAGCATGAATCCGAAGATAAAAGTTATCTTGTCTAGTGGTATATAGTATAGTTACTACTCGTTATTTATTATTATTTATTATTTATTATTTATTATTACTACTCTTAGTTATTACTCGTAATAATACCCTCCAGCTTTGAAAACACCACGATAGACTTGATAACGTCATCAATCCAAGAACATAAACTGCGTTAATCAATGTATTTCCGAACACTCTACCTTTTTGGTCCGACTAATTCCATAGCTGAAAATAAAACACATGTATAGTTATCTATAAAGTTATTTAGTAGCAGTAGAGCTCCATGTGAAAGATTTCGTCCAGGGAAGTACTGCCACCTTTCCTATTTCTGCCGCCAAGCAGTAATGCGAACATTACTGCGTTCCGGTTTTGAAGAGTAAGGGTGCTGGTTAAATTACAACTTGTCTTGTCAACTTATGTCTCAGGGTGACAGGCGCAGTGGCAGTGCCCCTCAAATCTTTGCAATTTAAAGCTCTGAGTGGCACTGTAACTGTTGTGAACAAGCGTGTGGCGTTCGCCTCGTCACTTGATGTTATAAAAAAATATCTTGGAACAGTTCGAAGAAGAGATAACTTTTGTCTTCAGGCTCATGCCAAACCTGCTGCTCTCATTGTGAAATGAGGCCTATACCCAGCTGTGGAAGTATATAGGCTAACTATTATTATAATGTTATGATACGACCGACAATGGTACACGATTGTTAAAAAAAGTCAATTAACCATTCTATTCTATTCTATTCTATTATATATGTAGTAGAATTTAAAAAACATTAGTTATAGTGTCTTTTTAATTACGCAGGTAAACAAAGCACGATAGCTACAAAACGCTATTAAAACGCATTCAGAGCTACTGTTTTTAACCGACTTCAAATAAGGGAGGAGGTTCTCGATTTGACTGTATACGGTAAAAACAGATTACTTAGAAAAAGACAAAATTCTTTTTATGAAGACAAATTTATTAAATCCAACAAAACGATCCTCTCCTTAAAGACGCTAGAGAATAATTACTTGATAATAGTATATTAATATGGTATATTAGTACGAGTACATAATAATTGCATGTTAAAGTTGTGCTTGTTACAAGTGTAGTTTGATTTCATGCTGTAACCAAATTTCTTAAATTATGACTAGAAATAACACCCTAATAAACTAGAGATACTACGTATTGTTTCTTTGGATAAATGACTGTTTATGATTTTTATGATTACAAGCACAAGTAATCGTTACCGCGTGCGCCTTCGGCGACATGTCACGACAACATTGACTATGAAGACGCAACGAAATGTTGCTTTAAGAATATACTCTAGAATTTAGAATATTAATCTGAATAGAAAACTACTTCTTTTTTGGTTAATATATTTTCTTAAAATACACCCACGAAATTTTGATGTAAGAGGTAAAAATTTCTTGGTGTAAGTAATGTCCAATTAATTGATTAGAAATGAAATAAAATCTTGAAGTGAACGTATTTCTCTCAAAGTTAGAATAAAGTTAAGAGTAAAATTGTATTAGAAAAAGGTAAGCAGTATTTTTGTAATGACAATATTTTATTACTTTTAATTAATATTTTTTCAGAATTAGCAAATATTTTGAGAAATTGTTCTTTCTTATTGGTAGAAATCCTTTTTTTGTGTGTACTTTTTCTTTTTTTTTGTGTGTATATTACGCTAATACTCTGACAATTGCGAACAGTAGTGTTGAAAATATTCAACCTCTAAGGGTGGCAAATTAGGGGATGAGTCGGTTTTTTTAAAAAAGGTATTATTACCGAAACCAATCGAACGGTCAGTAGATTGATGTACCTATGATATGGGAGTGTAGTATGACGATCTAGATAGATCCACGAATGCAATGACCGAGATGAATGCATTTAGAAACCACAACAATACACGAACGTTCGTCATGGTTTCGTACACATACACACCTGTTGGACACAGATAGATATTGCTATTGCTCTCAAAGTAGTACGAAATAAATTATGATAAAAAAGTATTCCCTGTCATTTGTAGATATTTTAAGTTGGTCCCGGGATCGATTTGGCCGAGGCCATGCAGAAAACCAACTTTTCAATATTGTCCCGGGTCTGGGTGTTCGTAGTACCGGCATTGTTGCAGATTTTTATAACACAAGTGCTTTAGTAACTTACTTTGCGATCAGAGCAACGTATGTGTGTGATACAGAAATACAAGGTTTCGTAGCTCCTTGTAATAGAGTTCATCCAGGGTAGTACTGCCACCTTGCCTATTTCTACCGCCAAACAGTAATACGAGCATTACTTCGCTCCGGTTTTGAAGACAAATGGGACTTGTCAACTTGTCTCAGGGTGACGGTTGCAGTGGTAGATCAGATCTTTGCGATTTAAAGGTCTGAGTGGCACTGCAACTGTTAAGGACAGGCGTGTCGCTTAATTATTACATTAATGTTTTTAAATATTGGTATAACAATCAGTTTAATTATGAAAAATGGGATGACTCATTATCGGAGGCATGCAGATTGGGGTGTGGGGAGAGGTATAACCTCGCCTAAGCTATTCAACTTGTATGTCAGCGGTCTGACCGAGGCACAGTAGCATGCATGTGGGATGTTATGTGGATGGTATAAGCGTTAATAACATAAGTTATGTTGACGACATGGTGCTGCTGTGCCCCTCTGTCTGCGCCCTCAGGCAAATGTTGAAAATGTGTGAGTCATATGCGGAAAAGCACGGCCTTATATACAATGCGGTTAAAAGTAAGTATCTGATCTTCAAGTCGCATTGAATGAATCCCAATGTTTATCATAGCATATCGCTAAATGGTACAGTACTAAATAGAGTTTCACAATTTCAATACCTCGACCACATTCTGTGTGATGATTTGAAAGACGATCGCGATTTAGAACGGGAACGGAGGGCACTGGCAGTGCCGAGTATAACAGTGCGGAGTTGGTTGTTGTAATATGTTTACACTCAAAAGGCATACAATGCCATCAGCGTCCAATACAATAATGCCTTCAGAATGCTGTTGAGGCTCCGTCGTCATTGCAGTGCTTCAGGGATATTCGCCGAGGAAAGTACTGCAGGCGCAACCCTGTTGAGCCGTGTGCGAGGTAGTCAATATAATTGCTGTTATATATGATTGTTCCACCCTGAAGTTCTGGGTAAACCTAATTTTATGTAGGTAGGCAAACAAATTTTATTATTATTATTATAAGCATTAACATTTTATAGTTATTTAACATAGTTGTAAGTACCAAATGTTACTAACAATTCTATGGATGCAATTATTTGAAAAAATTAGTATTCTTATTAATACCAGGCCCGTCTCGTCACTTGTATCATAAAAAAATAATGAACTGCGCTCATGTTTTCAAGGGTAAAGATGCTGAAGAAAGTTTATGCATATAAAACTTGTCAACTTTATATCACACTGCAACTGTTATAGATAAGCGTGTCAGTTACCACCAGGCGCACTAGTTCCTCCTGTCACTTTGTAACAAAAAAAATTCGGATTTGCCCTGTAATATGCACTTCAACACTAAGGGGTATTGGAAAATAATATAATACCGTAGGAAATATCACAGTACTTACTTCCATTGACAACAAAAAAGTCCGAAAACTTGCATAATCATACATCACAAAAAATGTGGAAAAATACTGTAGATGCTAACTTAGATTATTATCTTGTTTACTCTAACTCTAACGTAAGTTTGTAATCAATAAACGTACGGGCTAAGTAGCACGTACGTATTTTAAATAATTGGTTTTTCTCGAAAAATCAATTGAGTATTGTGGGTAATTCCATTGTCGATTGATTGAGACTTATGAGTAGCGAGTAGTTTCGTAATTAATTGGTTCAACGTGTGTTAGCTTGTAAACATATTCACGCCCTAATGCTCGCTCTAATTGGTGCAATTAACGGTGCTTCTAGAACGCGGATGAAAAATTCATGACAACCATTACATTGGTCATTAAGCCGTTAAGATAAGAACTAACCGGAACCAATAAAACCTCCTACAACTACAAAAAAAAATGTAAACAAAACTACAGCAAAAACCCAACAATCAAATTAAACGTTCCGCTTTAGTTCAAACCAAATCACCGGCTAACAAAATGATTACGGATTCGAGAATTCTTGAGTAACAAATGAAAAACATGCAAAACTGGACAAAATAAAATGTATGCAAACGAAGCCTGAATCTTTTTGTTTGTGAGACATGACTCATTTATCCCTAAAAGGCGGACATGGAAAGAATATATATTGTTATTGCAGGCACACACGTCGCGACCACATTACGTATTCAGAGCGGCATCTACCATTAGAAGTTACGCGGCACGCATCTATAATCACGCAAACAAAACACTGTCTTTACACAAAAATATTTATTAAAATAACGTAAAATACTTAATCTAATATATCACTTCACAGGATCTCGTTCCCGTGATAAATGTTGTTGTCCTTTTCAGTGACTTCCTCCCGGTCGGACGACGGCGTTGTCGGCTCCTTTCGGTCGTCATCAGATTCCACGAGGGTCGTCGGCTTTGTGACCAGTGTCGTCTTGCCTTGAGTCGTAGTCGTCTTTTCCTCATTTGCCGTAGAAGTGATCGTAGTTGACTCGTTCTCACGCTTGTAAGGACGTCCAGTCTCAACAATCGGAACTTCACGGTCGACGTCCTTTGACTTTTCTACAGGTGCAGAGCGTAAAGGAGCGCCGACGATGAGGAATCCGTCGCTTGAAATTTCAGCGGACACATCAGCGCCGCTGGAGTTCGCTGGCAACGCGTACGTATGGAAGAACTGGCTGGCAAAAATGTCATGGTCATCTTGCTTAGCTTCGTGCGATCCCTGCACGAAGACGAAGTCTCCCTTAACCTTTACTTTCAAGTCGTCCTTTTTGTAATCCTTGACGTTGACAATAACTTGGAACTTATCTTTGTCTGTGACAATTTTAGGGCCAATTTCGCCGAAACTGGGGAGGAGCCTCCAGAGAGGAGCGAACAAGTTACCGAATAGCGGGAAGCTGAACCATGGTGAGTCGTCGAAGTCTTCGTCGGTAATTGTCGTGACGGGTCGCGGCACCGGCTTATCTGTGGTCGGTAGCGCGGACACACAAGCAAGAACGGCGAAGACCGCTAACAATCGCGGCGTAATCATTTTTATCGCTTTGTGCTCACTGACGTGTGCTCTTACCGGTAGTGTTATTAATAACTGAGGCCGGCGCGTGAGCCGAAGGCTATATAGCGGAGGCACGGGGACGCGGGGCGTACGCGCATCGGACGTTCTGACGCTGGTGCAGACTCGCCCGCGCAGAGGCGTCACTAGGCGCGATTGCTGATTGTTATTTGTTTTGGTCTCTCGGAGGATGTTGACTCTCATTTGTTTCAAAGAACTTGGTAACATGAACCATTTTACTTTCATTTTTTTTTTTAAATAAACTTATTAATAAAAACGTGCGTTATATAAGCTGATTAAAAAAACTAAAACAACTCGGGGTGTAAAGGAACAAAAAACAAAATTAGCAATCGTGAATGTTTGACCTGAACAAATAGGAATATACGGAGAATTAAAACTATTTGTTTTGAGTTTCAAATTAATTCTAAACAATATATTGTTAATCAAAATGGTATAAACTTCAAATGAATTAATTTATTTTCGTGTGTAACACCTGTTACAGGTTAGTGAAAACACAGAAAATCCGCAGGCTCGCCGCGGTCACTTATTGTTGTTAACTTTCACGTTGGTTTAACTAAATAATATATCATTTCGTGTGTTTTGTGGATTTAATACTTTTAGAATAAGCAAACATTGCATATAAAGTTTTTGTGGGGCTATATTTTCGAAATAAATATTCTAAATGGAATATTAATTTAAGTATTTATACATTTACGATGTCAGACTACATTAATAACCTACAGTATCTATAAAAAGCGGGTGTTGGGCGTACCGGGAGCAAGTAGTAAAAACTTGCTGGCTGACCAAATGAAGATTGGCGATATAAAAACTAAATAGAAATTTAAAGAACAGATCAGATAGTCCACCAATTACGACAAAGCTCTTACCTTGCATATCAACGTCCTTACAAAACCAAAGGTCATATTATTATCTTAAAAATGTATTAAAATAAAATTTTAAAAATATGAATTCTGAAACGGACTACGAAAATATTTCGTTTATTTATGATATAATTATCATTTATTTCTTTGCGATGTACAGGTTGTAAAGGCGATATAAAGATACGTTTTAAATCTGTATATGTCACCTTTCGATATACAGTTTTCATAATAAACATGCAGTTCTATCAATCATTAATCATAACAAGCCTGTCTTCAAAGGAGGAGAAGAATATTTTAGGCCACCTGTGTCTTCAACCCAGTGCACCAGTACTTTATGATAAAAAAAAATTGTAAAACGGTACCAACTCCGGTGGGTTCAGCAGTGACAGAAAACCACATCAGCAGTTAATTAAATTATAGGTTAAAAATTAACTTGACACCAGTCCAGTAGACCCGGATTTATGAGACAGGAAGCATTTTCCGATTAGAGCAAAAACTATAAACAATGGAGTGTTCATCACCAAATCGTTAAGGAGGTTTTTAACAGGATGTTATTACTATAGAGGCGCACAAATTTTAATTGTGCCAAATTATGCTCAATGTTGGTATCTAATGTTTTCATCCATATTGTACCTACTGTTTTAATGATTTAAAATAAAAAGAAACAAATGAAGCTCATTAAATGTATTACCACATGTGGCTTTATTACAATATATATTAGTAGCAGGAGAGCTCCTTGTGAATGAATTCGTCCAGGTAAGTATTGCCACCTTACCGTATCGGCGAGTAACCAACGGATGCACGTCGCGTCCGATCGGCTGGTCTGGAAACCTTTGGAGGAGGCCTATGTTCAGAAATGGACGTCTTCCGGCTGACATGATGGTGATGAAGTGCTGTATTCCATATACATTCAACTCAAGTAATAATACCTGAGAAGTACAGTATTGTACATATATACATTCAAGTCATGTAATAGTTCCTGTTTAAGTTACATTTTATAATTTAAAGTGTTTACCATTCTAGTATTTACGTGCCATCTCAACTTGTAAAAGCGGTTCCAACTGAAAACCAGCGTTACAGCAGGCGAGCTGCAAATGCTGAGTTGGATCCGTTTCTTTCTTATCTATTTCTGCCGTCAAGCAGTAATGCTCACATTACTACGTTATGTTTTGAAGGGTTAGGGCTGGTGAAATAACAGGCACATGGGACTTGTCAACTTATATTTCAGTGTGACGAGCGCAGTGGCAGTGCCCTTCAGATATTTGCGGTTGCCCTGAGAAGGATTGCAACTGTTATGGGTAGGAGTGTCATTTAGTATCATAAATAAATATTGTGATAAAACCACATGTGATAAAGCCAAAAGTGCTTTTATCAAATGAACTGTATGGAACAATCTGTTTATGTATATGTGAAATTTTATAACTTGCCTATTTAAGTATAAAAAACGTTATCGATTAATTTAACTCGTAGGATCTTTAAACATGTTTTTTGGAATATTATCCTTTTGCAGATGTGATATTCTTACACCAAGGGCGACAAAATGAAGTGACAAAAAGAACGACCTCGTGACGACAATAAACAAATTAATACGTCTCATATATATACGTGTTTTTCAATATAGAATTATGGCGAATTTATTTATTTATTCATAATTTACAACTTACACTACCAGCAATAATAACTAAAAATAAGTTTAAAAAAAAATAGGGTTTATTTAACATGCAAAGTACACACATTTCAAACAAAACTAATAAAAATAAATTCAAGGTCAAATAGGAAATAATAAAAAGAAGCATAAATAATAAAAAGAGGCATGTCAAAAGGGTCCATGACTAAGCCTCTGAGCTTGCTTGCTTATTACATAGCTCTCGCTGTTATTCTTCTATTCTTAAATATATAAGCCACTGTCAAAAAGGGTTGAGTCTATCACCGCCCAAAAGCAAGCTTCGTTATTATTATTTCCCTTGGTCCATAAGGTCCATGCCGAGGCTTTCTGTCAAGTTATTTGACAAGAATTAAATCATTTTTCATTAAGAAAACGACATCTGACATAACATTTTAAACATAATACGTACGCACTATCTATCTATCTATCAGTCCGCGTCATACACAGGATGTCCGCGTCGATACAAGTCACAAGAGTGCCTAAACACTAAAACTGTTCGGCACAGTTCAGTACATAGGCATACAGTATCGATAATATGCCATGTCTGCTTTCTAAACGAAGTTTATCTATGACTATGACGTGTGACCTTGTAAGGCCGGCTTCTAGAGTTCTCGAGAGCTGCAAAGTCAGCTCATTTTCTTCCTATCATCATAAGAATTGTTTACATTACGTGTACTTAGGCAGTGCGTCATGTATGTTGTTAAATGACTAACATAGAGCGGAAAAATGAATTTCGGTTTAAATGTAAGTAATAACTTCCAACAAAAAAAGAATCATGAAAATCGGTTCACAAATACTGGAGTTATCGCGTAATATACATACAAAAAAAAAAGAACATAGAGTCGAATTGAGAACCTCCTCCTTTTTTGAAGTCGGTTAAAAAATAATGGCACGTACAGATATAGGTTGTTAATGATAACGAAGTAAAAACTTTGACGGCATTCCAATTGAGAAGCCATCGCCGTCCCACCGGGCTACATCCGCTCAAGTTGATTAATTAAGATTGATTAATAACGTTCTTGAGCCGTGACTCAAGTGCTTAGCAACGTTTATTAATAAGCAGAAATTTGGGCAATTCTCTAACGATGCGTAATCAAATGTGTTATAATGTACACTCGACTGACGTTCGTTAATAAAGACATTTAAGTGTTACTTTACATCGATTCTGCACTTGAAATAGATTTATTAATACGTAATTTAGATAATAACAATCTTTACAATACACAAATATTGTTTATTGCGTACTGGGATAAATACAAAATATAATATAAAACTTTTTCATTAAAAAAACCTGCCTCAAAGGTTTGCTTATCGGATTTTTTTCACTTTCCATATTCAAATTCAAAATAATCTTTATTTCATAGGTAAGCATTATTACACTTGAAATCGTCATCATGGTTATACTCTACCGCTCATTCGTAAGGCAGATTCCCCTGAGAAGAATGAGCAAGAAACTCTAGGGGTTGCTCTTTGTAAATAACATTTACAATATTTTTTTTTATTTGAAACATCAGAGATCGAGACTACCTCCATGAGCTAAACGGGTTACTACCACGGATTTTTGTCATCCAAGTACGCAGAAGTTGTATAATAACCTTTAGTATAAAGTTTTTGTTTCACTATAGTTTCAAGCCTCGTGAAAGGCAAATTTTGTATATCAACCGGAATCTTGTTATAGAAGCGTATACATTGCCCCTTAAATAATTTTTTGACTTTGTGAAGACGACTATCAAGAAAAGCTAGTTTATTTCTATTCCTCGTATTAATGTTATGTCTGTCACTATTTTTCATAAATAAATGACTATTCCTTTTAACATAAATTACATTTTCATAAATGTACTGTGAGGCTAGTGTAAGAATGTTAATTTCCTTAAACTTATCTCTCAAAGATACTTTAGGGTTCCTTCATCAGGTTCTGATTTCTTGGTGACTCTGGGACTGTTACAAACTCCTTTGTACATTTTGTATTTTCTTTTCTGGTTGCCATGGCGACGGTAATTTATTGATTACATGTATTGTGTCAAGTGAAAAGTCGACTTTTGTGACAGCCGAAACGAACCCAGAACAGCATCAAAGACCACCTCGAGAGTATATAATATAATTAATATAAGAGTATATATATAACTGCCTCTGTGGCCGAACGGTTACCATGCCGGACTGCCACGCAGAGGTCCCAGGTTCGATTCCCGGGCCGGGAGAAATGTTTGTATGGCTTACATTTATTTCTCTCGTGAGTTTGGGTGTAATTTGTGGTTGTCTATGTGTGTGTCCATGGCACCCGCGACACAGGGTTTCCCTAGTGTGGGGCTATGTTGAGTGTGTGCGTTATTTATGTGCGTTATACCCTATGAAACCAAAAAAAGAATTTTCAAAATCGGTGCACAATTGATGGAGAAATCGGTGAATACCTATAAAATTTGAGAATTCGATTTTCATGGGATCCCCTCGTCAGATTCTAACTTGG